CTATTTTTTTTAAAAATGATATTGATTATTCTGCAATTTCAGTGGATCAGATTGTATACCAATAGATTGATCTTTTATAAGCCTTCTGCATTTCAAGGCAATTTATTTAGTACGTAAGACAGAAAATAGTATATACTGTAATAATCATTTAAATCTGCTTGTTGAGTATTCTGTAAAAACAATTATAGAGTATTCGAAGTTGGTTTTCACGCATTTGTTTACAGCTGTGGTAAATTTAAATGATTATATCTTTATTATTGGGAGTCATTGATGGGAAGATATTTCTCAGCCTATGTAATTAGACATTTCCTAGGAGCAGACTTCATGTGGTGAAGGCAGGCCTTGAAGACGTAATTTGGTGAAGGCAGGCCTAGAAGACGTAATATGGTGAAGGCAGGCCTTGAAGACGTAATGTGGTGCTGGCAGGCCTTGAAGACGTAATGTAATGCTGGCAGGCCTTAAAGACTTAATGTGTGCTGGCAGGCCTTGAAGACGTAATGTGCTGATGGCAGGTTTTGTAGAAGTAACGTAATGGCAGACCTTGAAGAAAGAATATGAGAGACCTTTTAATCTTCTTAAAATCATCGTGCTGTATTTAATTTGAGATATTTGCGGTTTTTGTTTCCTGATCATGATAGTTTAATGATCAAACACTTACGAGACTGAGTGTATCTATACATGTCAGCTATTGATCGATTAGTGTCAAACTACATGTTTCTTTGACTATCAGTATTATCAGATTCTTCTCTTTTTATGACATGTACTTGAATATTGAGAATTGGTACTGTTGATTTAAACAGATACTTTGTGTATTCAAATTTGCTGGGAAGGAGATTTCCACTGCAACTAGTGGATGAATCATGAAGTAATATATTGGAATTCAGAATTCCTTTTTATGAGACAGACAAAGAAAACAAGCATAATATTGTATGTTTATTCTGAGGGAAAATTTATGTATTTTGATAGAGTTCATACATGATTTAAAGGTTTGTCAATTAGGCATATATTTGGCGAATTTTTTCTCAGAGTTTATACAAGTCTGAACAATTTAATGTATATGGTTTTTTTCTCTGGAATTCACTCATTCGGTGAATTTTTTATTTTGATTCAGTGACTAATATTATTGAGCCAGTTTGTCAATATATTTGAGTGTTAGTCGCTCGAAATTATTCACTTATACAATTGTTGAATCTTTATAATTGCAACATATTGCAAGGAGGAAGTCCTTATGTGAGACCTGTACTGTGTGATACGTTGCTGCATGATCTTTAATCGAAGACAAAACAAGCCTATGCCAACTGTATGTTATTTCTTTTTTGTTCAAATTGAATGGATACTAAAAAAAAGTCAATGTAACAATGAAATGTTCTTTTGTTGACTGCAAACCTATATAACTCTAGGGGTTTCAAATTATAAGTATCATTCCTGTGATTGAAAACCGTTACAGTAATTTACAATTTTACGAGATTTTTGTCAGAATAGATTAGTTTATCAACGCTCATTTTTTTCTTTGCAAAATCAGTATTTTAGATATACAGCTTTAGTAATTAATAATCGGAATAATTCTTTGCATTAAAGTGTTGGGGTTGTGTTTAGTATTGCATATTGTGAAATACTAATATTCGGCTTGGAAAGGCTTAATAGTTATTCATATAAATGGGAAGGAAGACCATGCCTTGTGATTCTTGGTAAAAGAGCAACACAAGGGAATAAAAGCCACTCTCGGGTAAGTACTTGATGTGTTCGTTAGAGATACCCCTTGCGTGTAACAATACAATTTGTAACCAAGGGACTAAATCAAAACAGATACGGCAATATTCAATACTGCTGTTCAGCAAAGCGAATCATTTGGCATTATAGCTTGAATAGCTTTCAACACATTCTATTAACAAACTGTCATCTGTTAATTGCCCTGTCTCAATCGGTCTTCGCCATGATTTAAATCACTGATAATTGGAAGAAACCAGGTACCTTAAATGTATATGTTACTCAAGTTGCATTCTCCATAAAATGATTGTAGGGCATAGGCAGTTTGCTCCGCTAACGGCATTCGCACGCAAATAAATAATTATCCACTAATTTGCTAATGAACAAAAATTGATTTGTTAACTGATGACCTGGACAAGTACAGGTATAATGCACGAACTCACTGTATAATAGCAAACTAGCTGAGTAAAGTTTTGTGATGACTATATTTTTTAACGTACACATACCGATTACAAACAATCTCAGACCAAAGTTAATACATATTTTCAGTATTTACCCGAGACATTACTCCACAAGAGATGTACCGAACTGTTTTGACATTTTCTCATCTAGAACAGGGACAACTGTGTTACATTGTCGTTACATTTTTTTAAAACGTGAAATTACTTTCATAATGATAAAAATAACATATCGGTATTTTTCTTTTCCTTTTGAAAATATGTATTTTTTTTCAAAATATGTTTTTTAATTTTTTTACAAGTTCCCGTTCCTATTAATATTTCTAATTTGCATTGTTTTATTCTAACTATATACTCTCTGGGTACCTGACTATGTAAACATGTAGTCAGTGTTGTATGTTGCTTCGATAAATTAACTAGTGTGGAGCTAGTATTTTTCTTTTTCCAGGCAATTGACGTCAAAATTAAAATTTCTTTTAAAAATGGATATTGAATATTGAGTTCACATGCTTTCGGATGTTTCTCGACTGGATGCTAGTATGTAAGTCTAGTGACAAATTGAAACAAGCATACATACATACATACATACATACATACATACATACATACATACATACATACATACATACATACATACATACATACATACATACATACATACATACATACATACATACATACATACATACATACATACATACAAATTTGAGCCAGTCACTGGTATAAGATCTAGAAGTATGTCAAAGAAAAGCGGTAAGAAGAGTTTAGGTACTAATCAAAGCTCACATGCAGTTGAGACAGTTGAGGGATATGTAGATAAAATCAAATTAGGTTTCTTCAATAAAATCTGTAGAGGAAACGTTTCGCCTGCATGAAAAAAATATTTTCAACGTAATTATTTACTTCCTTATACACGAGAGCAAGAGCATTGGTTTCGTTAAAGATATATCTCGTGTTCTTTTGAAATACCATCTTCGCGGTTTCTTCAACTTATACGGGAACACGCTATATTCTGTCCCGAAACCAATCTGGAAGATGAGTATTGAAACGGCAGTTTTTAGTTGCTAAGAATCATGGTAGAGAACTAAACCTGAAGTGAAACCTGAACTTTCACACGATACAAGTGCCAAGGCTAATCTTCAACCACTTGCTGTCTAGAAGCTAGGTAAATGTATTAATGATAAAACTTGATATTTCGCTTACAATGGCTTTTTAACAATGTGCTCAGTTTCAACAGAGAATGAATGTAAGTGTAAACTGCAAAAGATTGACATCAGAGCCAAGGAAATGTTACTATTCTACCAAGCCTTAAATGAATGTAACACTATGCTTGAAAGAATAATAGATGCAATAGTCATCTTAGATTCGCACAGGCGTTTTGTCAGGATAACCATTCGTTATTGCATATCCTTTTGGGCAAGAGAGTGGACATCTTTGGTTGTTTGGATGATCATTTATGGCAGATATTCATGTTGTGGTAACTGAAGAAATAGTCACAATGTACCGAAAAGCAACTGAACTTGAAAGCCGTATCTAATATTATGCTTCTTCAGTATACTAAAAAAAGGAACTGATGTCAATTTAATAATAAAAATATGCACAATAGTTACATACATACATACATACATACATACATACATACATACATACATACATACATACATACATACATACATACATACATACATACATACATACATACATACATACATACATACATACATACATACATACATACATACATACATATATACATACATACATAGGCGTATGACGTGCACACTATTTTAGGACTATATCTATCATATCTTATTAGCAATTGTTTTCTTAGGACGGTAAAATGTCTTATAATATCAGTATACTATGATTATCTTTAATATATTATGACACAGCTAGTATATTATTTGGTTAAACTAAGAAACTATAGGATTATGCATTTTTTATTAGAATGGATTAGACTACACATATATGATACAACATTGTATGCAGATGAAATTGTGTCGATTATAATTGTGTGTGTATGTGTGTGTGTGATTAGGCGTTTTGTCAGGATAACCATTCGTTATTGCATATCCTTTTGGGCAAGAGAGTGGACATCTTTGGTTGTTTGGATGATCATTTATGGCAGATATTCATGTTGTGGTAACTGAAAAAATAGTCACAATGTACCGAAAAGCAACTGAACTTGAAAGCCGTATCTAATATTATGCTTCTTCAGTATACTAAAAAAAGGAACTGATGTCAATTTAATAATAAAAATATGCACAATAGTTACATACATACATACATACATACATACATACATACATACATACATACATACATACATACATACATACATACATACATATATACATACATACATAGGCGTATGACGTGCACACTATTTTAGGACTATATCTATCATATCTTATTAGCAATTGTTTTCTTAGGACGGTAAAATGTCTTATAATATCAATATACTATGATTATCTTTAATATATTATGACACAGCTAGTATATTATTTGGTTAAACTAAGAAACTATAGGATTATGCATTTTTTATTAGAATGGATTAGACTACACATATATGATACAACATTGTATGCAGATGAAATTGTGTCGATTATAATTGTGTGTGTATGTGTGTGTGTGATTAGGATTTTTAAAGTAGCTTTAACAATTTTTCAGTCATATCGCTACCATGTCTGCATTGTGACACTTTATAGCGATGTATAGCTCTGGGAAATCATGCAGACACGTAGCATGATGTCCAACCCAGTCACATTATCCTGACTTCAGGCCGACCAGTCATAACTGAACGCCAAGCAAGGCAACTGTTAGTACCATTTTTTAAGTCTTTGGTATGATTTGAACCCACGACCTCCCGCATCCGAGGCGGACACTTTATCCACTAGGCCACTGGAGCGGTATTGATTGGAATCTGAACCAGTGTTAGTATGTATTCCAAGGGTCTATATTTGGACCGATAATATTTCTTTCATATATAAACGGTATAGTCTATGATATAATCATTCTAGAGACACTATATATCCGATCTACCACATGACAATTAAGTGATCCTGCTTGTAGGTGTTGATAAAAAATCAACACAGTCAAATTTTCAGCCATTGTCGCTGAACAAAGTTGGGGTAGGGTTGGGTGGGCACATTATAAGCTTTGAATAACTGATTTTTGCCACTGGCTGTTTTAATAGCATCAAGAAACAGTCATCCATTTTGTTTGTCAACAGTCGTGATCTTTCTGCTTCTGCGCCCTATATAGAGTAGAAAAAAAATATTAACTGTATGAAACAGATGGACACATTAAATCTAACTTAGATGTCTTTAAAACTGTTAGTTCTTGCAATGAAAGGCAACTCTTCATATCATTTATAAATGTGCTAGTTCATAGAATAAACTTATCTAAACGTTGCGTGAATTGGCACTGCTGTAGGCAGGTAAGAGTTTCCGTAATCTAGACAGAAACAAAATCATAATGACATTCCGGCTCAATAGCAGCTAGAATACTAAGTCAGCCATCGTGGTCCCTCTGCTATTGACTGGTCCTACTCTGATTCCTCTCCGCGTTACACTGGAGAAAAATGCAAGAAACGTTCGCTTGTATCTAAAGCTGTTAAGAGCGTACAAAAATGGATTTATCGAAGACTTTGCGAAAAGAAGCCATTGGAAAAACTGATACAGATTTTCGTTAACACAATGAGCACAAAATGATTTAATTACTGTTGTTATTGTGTAAGGTACCCAACAAATAAAGAATGCGATGACCAGAACGGAAAGGAATCTGGCAGCCTTGACATCGCGACCTCTCGTCCATTGTTCTTTAGACTTTTGTTCAGGATTGACACGTACCAGTTGCGAACTATATGCTGCTGGGACATGTAGCGTTGATGGTTTCTCATTTACCGTAGACAAATTTGTTTCCTGGCACGAGTTAAGAACCGAGTTTGTACGTCGAGACAAACTATTGTTGGTTGCTCTACCACGCTGTCTTATCTTGAAATAAATTATCATGTTCATCGACGTCAGAACTACAAACGGTAAGAGAAATTCAATGATGGCAGTTATTACGATATACAGGTAGTTGTTATGAAATTCAACTTCACATTGAGTCGATTCGACATCTGATTTACCAGTCAGAAAATCCCACAAAATTATTTCTGGCCCGTATATAATGAAAGAAATCAGCCAAGATATTCCGAGTTTAATCCTTGCCTTTCTCATGGTCTCCTTTTCCGTGTAGAATGGGCCGTAAGCTAAAAGTAGAAGACGATCTAAACTTAATATAAGCATAATAAGGATAGATTCAAAGCAAAGAGTAAAATCAACCACCTTGTATATCTTGCAAAAGATTCTACCAAGCGGCCATATCAGATTAGAAATTGTGTAGAAAGCGTAGAACGGCATACTTATTGTTCCTATGAGTAAATCCGTCACAGCAAGATGGAAAATGTAAAAATCATACACTGAGTGAAAGCTCTTGTCCAGAATGAAAGCAATAGTAGTCAAAAGGTTTCCCATTATGGCGAGTATAATGAGAATAGCAAGTCCGGTACCGCAGAGGGCTTTACTTGGCCCATAGAGCATGACGTATTTATCTTCAACATCGTGGGTTCCATATTCAATGTCGCTATCATTGGGTGTCATTTTCAAGGCAGACTGTTTCCGGCCAGCTGGTGAATCTGAAATTATATATATATATATATATATATATATATATATATATATATATATATATATATATATATATATATATATATATATATATATATATATATAAAAGTAAATGATTTTAATTTATAATTAAGACCAAATTACTTCTATATCATATTCTTAAATAGACAGTTAATTTTAAATAATGATTTAAATAAAGTAGTCACGAAACATTCGAGAAAAGTAAATCTTATACATCTATAGCAATGAATAATTTTTATTTGTGAATAAATTTTTAATCATAATATAATAATCAAGTTCAGAATTTTGTGGATTCTTGATCTCATTTCATCTAAACACTAATACGCTGTGAATTCCAAGTAAGAATTTATTCGGTTTGTTTTATGTATGTATGTATGTATGTATGTATGTATGTATGTATGTATGTATGTATGTATGTATGTATGTATGTATGTATGTATGTATGTATGTATGTATGTATGTATGTATGTATGTATGTATGTATGTATGTATGTATGTATGTATGTATGTATGTATGTATGTATGTATGTATGCATGCATGCATGCATGCATGCATGCATGCATGCATGCATGTATATATGAATGTACCTACGCACGCACGCACGCACCTACCTACCTACCTACCTACCTACCAAACCTATCAAGGTAAATGTACAGCAAATTGAACTAAATTATTATTGGACACGCATCCAGTCTCACGAAACAAAGGAAAAGGGAGCCCATTCACAAAAATGGTAAACAAAATTCTATACCAAGGTTAAAAACTCAAATCTTCCTTAACATATTTAGAAATCTGAACTTTAAAATAAAATAGAACTAATTAAATGAAGATATGAAGTGAAAATTCGCAAGACAAATTCTGTATTGTGAATTAAGTTCCGTATCAATTTTCATATCGTCGTAAATGTTCTATCACAAGTCAAAGAGTATAGAATGTTTCGAATGCAATCAGATAATGTTGACTGCTCTTATGTACCAAGAGATTCGCATGTCATGATGTACAATAGACTAGAATGTACTGATGTACAAACAGCATTATTGTATCACAATGATATAAATCAGAATGTCTTAAAAGAATCACAATAATATAATGTAGTAGTATTTTAGTCAAAATATCAATGAGCACTTTGTAATTTCCATAAATAATTTAAATACATAATTCTTCTCAAATCCGATTTGAAAACAGCAGTAACCGATTCATCAGGCTTGTCTTAAAACCAGAGTATACTTTGTTTACGAAATTATATATACTAATGACACTTGACCTAAGAAATAACAATATGCAAGAGATGTGAATTATGTCAAAATTGAGAATTACATTAAATTCGTAAACAAGTCCAGTGTTAGACTTAAATTTTAGGAAACATTTTGTTTGCTAATTATAATCATGTCAATTATCAAGCACGCAATGTGTGGCGGGCAGCCAAGAAGCATGATTAAAATTACATTAACATCAGACAGTTCATTTTTGAAACGTTCAAGACATTTTCTGGTAACCAAAGATAGAAACGTTTTGAAAAAAATGGTTCCAACAGATGATGATTATTTCTTGACGCAAAACGTTTCATCTCCTGACAAGTCTTCTTTTCAGCAGTTGTTTTTTGTAGAAAACACCTACGCAAAGAAAACCGACCAAAAAGAGAAAAATAAAAACCCACATACAATCACCTCATTTTCATTCTCATTCTTGTATGTCTCAGTCTGGTGCACATTTTTATTAAACAAATTTCTGAAATATTTTCAGAAATTATTATATTTTATGCATGCATATTTTACGTAAAGATACTTCATTTAGGATTCCTTCATGTTGAAATTTAAGCAAGAGCATAAAGACAGGTATTCTAAATCGTCTTATTTTTAATGTCTGTAATATTATTTGAGAACACAGGAACTTCTCTGATTATTTTATTTCTATAATTTTATATTTTTGTCGTCTGTGAAATGTTGTACAAATGAAAATGTTCTTATTCAGGAAATATTGTGCGGTTTTGTTAATGCTCCTCCATGTTGCGAAACATTGGAGTTAGAATTAGTCTTAGTCACATTTGGAGCAGTTGTAGTTTGACCTATCGGTGGTTTTGTATTTATTACTATGGAATGACGTAGCTAAGTATGTGGACGTGGTTAATCACTTGTAACTTAGAAGCCTTGTCTGGATAAAAAGTTGATCGTGTTGAGATTCAAAACCCCAATTTATGTCGTGCTACGCAGTTACCAGAGCTAAGGAAAAGAGAGCTCTTAAAAATGGTGTTCATCCGGAAATTATTCCTTTATGCCACATATCAATTAGACACTCTTTGAATGGGTGCACGTTTGCTCGTAAAATTGATCAATATATATATATATATATATATATATATATATATATATATATATATATATATATATATATATATATATATATATATATATATATATATATATATGTATATACATTGATCATATTGATCATCTTTATATAACTATTCTACTCAGTGTTACATACACGTCTTGACTGTCTAATTTCAAATATAACTGTTAAGGGCTTAAGACGCAGCAAGAACTAATCTTTACTGTTTTCAGTCAAAAATGAAATTAACATATGACAGAAATACAAAATGTTGACTGTCAGTGAATTTCACAATATAAAATAATTTAAGTTAAATATTTTGACTCTTTACATATAAATGCCAAAAATGTTCCTTGTATAGTAGGTGATTAAATAACGTAGTTAGACTAGCATCGTTCTCATTTAATAGTTTTGTATCAGGCATGTAAGTGAACATCGTTTAAAAATTATGCTTTGCTCATTGAAATTGCAGAGATGAAACATTGACTCTAAACAGACAGAACCGTGCTTGATACTTGTGAAAGTATTCTAGGATAATTATGTTTATTAATATCATTGCATTTATCTTTAAAGAGAAAACTATTTGGATATTATACGTTTATTCTGTTTTGCCTGCATATAAAACACTTTAGAACTTTCATTCGGAATACATTTGGATCTTTTCCGGATCACTGAAATTGATAGAACATTTGAGAAATTCATTCCTTATTGCAGCTTTTTTTTAAAAATAATTTGACTTTGTTTGACCATATATTTAAGGCAAAGATTTTTGCAATATAGAATACTTCTTGTGTTTTGCTTGTCTTGTTTTACTTAGTTTAAGCCTCTAAAATGCAACATTATTAACTGATGACGTTTTGTATCAAAAGTGTTCGTCAACATTAC